AAGGGTGCTTGTTCCACCTTGTGAAAAATATGAAGCGCAAATTAGCAGAATTCCATTTAATGCAACGAATAATACCGATGCTGATTTTGCTCTCTATGCACGTATGATTCCTGCGTTAAGTTTTGTGCCTATCGAAGAACTTGAAAATGCTTTAGAGGTTTTGAGTGAGAATTTACCTAATGAGTTAACCCCAATTTTAGATTACTTTGAAGATTATTACGTTGGAAGGATTCAAAGAAATAATCATCGCCGTCGTCCTACATTTAAATCAGAAATGTGGTCATGTTATGCTAGAACTTTAAATAACGAAGGACGCACCAATAATTTCGCGGAAGCAGCGCACAGGCGTCTACAGTCTGAATTTGGTGTTTCACACCCCACGTTATGGAAGTTCATAGATGGTCTCAGATGTGTTCAAAAATCAATTGATCAATGTTATGAACAATTTGTACGTGGAGATGAACCGCCGCAAAAGCGGAATAGGTATCTGCGAACTGATATGAGAATTAAAGTAATATTTGAAAATCGAGAAATAATGGAATACCTAAAAGGTGTGGCGCATAATTTTGCAATGGATTAGTATAATAAAAGTTCTGTGATATAATCTTATTTATGTGTAATCTTATTTATCTGTAATCATATTTGTCTGCAATATAACTTCTTTGTAACCATATGTTTATTTACCATGTCTGTATTTTGCCTTTTTGATGCTGTTTTGTGAAATAAATAAATAAATAAATAAAACCTCCCTCATGTCCCGGGGCCTTCTCACTAATCTGGGACAAAAAAAAAAAAAAAAAAAAAAAAAAAAAAAATCGAGAACACATACATACACACATATAATTTATTTCAAATATGCATGCAAACAATCGCTAATTCAATAAATAAAAATCAGTCATATTACTTATTTATATTACTTCATATTTATTCTAAAAACAAATAAAAATACGAAAAAATATGGCGTCGAAACGACCTGCTTCGTTTTAGAATACGTTTCATTAGTATACGTTGAGTATTTTTACGCATTTTCGTGAAAATTTTCTAATTTATGAGAAAAAATCAGTGCACATGGATATAGTGAAGAGTGTGCGCAATGCCATTTTTGTGCAATTCTGGGATTTTTTTTAAGTAAAAATAAGTCGACGTGTACATGGTTTAGTGATATTTTAATTAAATGATAGTTATTTTGTGAATTTTATGTTTGTAGCAATTTGGTATACGTTTCAGTTGAAGTAAACATGTATGGAAATAATTTAAATATTTGACACTAAGTATTTGTAACTATTTTTAATGTTTGCGGTAGAAATTCGTTGGTGACGTTTTATAAATAATAGATAATTTAGAGGTAAAAGTTTTTTTGGATATTTTATTTATTTTATACGTGGAAATGTTCATTCCTTGGAAAGGGTACATACTTTTTGCACGATCAGATAATTTCATATATGTGCTTTTTACCGAGTTTAAAGATTCAGAAAATTTTCCTGCATTTTTGTGCAAATTTTATAATTTATGAGAAAAATAGCAGTGTAGATGGATAAAGTTAAGAGTGTGTTGCAATGCCATTTTTGTGCAATTCTGGGATTTTTTTTTTAAGTAAAAATAAGTCGACATGTAAATGGTTTATGTGTATGTGCTATTCTGAAAAACGCGCAAGGAGTTTGCGATTGTGCACTTTTTCCCAATTTTGCAGTTAATTTTGTCATGATTAAGCAGTTTTGTTACATAAAATTTCTAGCATAAGTGTAATTCAGCTAGTAGATTGTTGGAAAAAGTGTTGAGTAAATAAAAAGAAAAGAAACATGTCTTTACTTCGTGAAGACAAAATGGCGGGGGAAAAAAAATAGAGGTTGCTGTAGCAGAGTTGGTCGCCAAAAAATCGCCAAGTTACCATAATACAAAGATCAACCGGCGTTTGATTTTTGCATGAAAGCTGATTGCTGAGAGATATGAATGAGCTGAAACAACGAAAAATTTAACTGAATTGCTTACCTGGAGGATGGAGGAGATGGTCCTGGGAAGCCTAAGCTTATGCACGTGAAAAAGGTATGTTAAAAAATTGAGGTCTCATTTATTTATTTGTCGCTGCCATGATATTTTAAAATTAATTTTAGCTTCCCGATTTCCTGAAGTGAAAATAAATCGATGAATACAAAGTTAAGGCAGTGCGTTATGCCTAGCTTGTGCAATTCTCTGATTTTTTTTTAAGTTAAAATAGGTCGATGTGTACATGGACACTGAGTTTGTGCAAGTCTTTGACTTCTTAGTTTTGTGTAGCTGCTATCTTGAAACAGGTGCCAATCCTTTCTGCCACCTATATTAGCGTCAAAAAAGAAACGATTTGCCAAGGCTTAACGTAGAGTAAATTTTTGCCTTATTTTCATAATTACCTTTTTTTTTTTAAATCAGAATTGCCTTCAGCTGTTCTCATATATCATGGCCAATGCACAATACCGAGTTCCCAAAATTTTAATTTTTTTCCTCTTTTTTTAGAGAAAGCAAACTGAGCAAATAAAAAAAGGAACGGTTCTATATTTCCCGTTCTACTGGAGGCCGATTGATGAAACTGAAACTGCGTTTTTCATGTTTTGAAAACGCATGCAATATATAAATCTAATATACAATATATATTAGATTTATATATAGAGAGAATATATATTAGATTTATATATATAGAGAGAGAATATATATTAGATTTATATATAGCACTGTTTTAATATAGACATTTTGACACAAAAATCAGACTTTTTGGAAATGACATGCCAATTTTTTTTCCATATTTTGATTCTATGACTCAAATTACGCCTAGATAATAAATTTTGTAAAATTTGGTTCAAAATTTAGGGAGAAATTCAGAAATTTACCTTGCCACATTTTTTTTTTTTTTTTCCATTCTGCAGCAAGAATACAAGCACAGCACTTGGCGAACTTTTTAATTTATAGCAACCTACTTTCCTTTCCTTTTTTTCATTATATATGAGTGGGAAAAAAGTCATTTCATACTTTCAAATAATTTTAACAAAATGCATAAACCACATTTGGCATTATTATCACCTATAACAAATATGCCAGATTTCAAAAAGTGCCAATATGTAAATTCATGTATGTCTTAGAAAATTTTGAACCAAAAAAAAAAAAAAACCTCTTAATTTTTTGCAGGTATGCTTTGAAATACATCTACTTTAAGATGATTGAAAAATTTATAAAAAATGTAAATTTTAAAAATAAATCATAAAAAAAGGGGTGACTTTTATTTGAAATGAACCTAAAGTTTGAATTCTGGAAGAAGGAATCAAGTAAGCTTAATAAAAAAAAAAAAAAAAAAAAAAAAAAAAAAGAGATTAATAAATATATATCAAATTCAATTAACATTGAGGAGCTAAAATTTCTAGAGCTAATTTTTTAAAACTACTCGTGCGATTTTTACAAAATTTGGCAGTTTGGCATAATTTGTGTCATAGAATCGAAACATGGAAAAAAAATTTGGATATCATCAAAATCAGTAGAGTGAGTGATATAGAACTATCCCACCTTTTTCTTTGGGGGGGGGGCACGAACATAGAACCTTAATTAATATTTAAAATTGGTATTTTAAATTGCTTTTCTTTTGATATAATAATATATTTGCCAATTTATGATAAATATCAATATTTTGCCGACTTTAAAAAAAGTAACCAAATCCCCAACCTGCACCCGATAAATCCTTTTTACCTTGCTTTTACAAGCAAAATTTAATTGATTACACTTTTTTACTAAATGAACAACTTTTACTATAACAACAGCTGAAATTTATTATACAATTTTATTTAACATAATATCTCTTAATCTATTTGGTTCAAATCTTGAAATTAATGTCAGACTCCATTCTATCAACCCAATTTTCAAGAAATTTTACGCACATATTTGTTTGCAATAGCAAAAGTAGGTGAATAGTTAAACTATCTTTTTGAATTAAATGATGTCCTGCACAATAACAAGCATGGTAAAAAGGCAGGAAGTGAAACTTTAGATGAACACAATATATATCAAGTAAAATACCACCTTCTTGAACATGTTAAATGATTCCATTTTTCGATTTATTTGTAAATATTACTTCAGTTTTAAAGTATTAACATCTAATGCCCACTAGATAAAAGTTTGAAAATAAAAGAAATAAAAAAATTTAAAAAAAACTGTAGAAGATATTATGGAAATTTCATAACAATATCAGTAAAGAAAGGAAAATTATAGCAAATCAACTCCACGAATTTAAATTTCATTTTTACTCCACTTAAATAGAAAGAAAATTCATTTTTGCTCCACTTAAAGAAAAAGAAAAATTAACAATCATGTACTAAACACATATGCAGGACAAAATTAATTTTAAATGAGACTAAATCCTCGATGTAGGATTGATGACTATGGCGAAAATTAAGAGAATGCATTATTTGCCTGCTGCTCAGCTCTGACGCTACAATTAAATAATTTCCTTCTTTCTATACTTGCCTCTTTCTTTGCCACGAATTTGATAAGGACAAATTTCATTAATTCGTTTTTAAAAAACAATGCCCAATATATATCTACTGTAGGTATAAAATAAATTTAAAAGAAAAATTTTAAAGATGAATACACGTGCCACAAGTTGGTGCAAAGTTTACGCTCCTAAACATTGTCGCAATTTCATCACATACACACACACATGGTTACTGAAAGAAATGAGATGATGTAAATAGGTTACAAACATATTCTAGATTAAAAAAGTCAATATAAACTACCTTGTATGCTTAATAAACGTAAAAACACAAATTCTCAAAATTGCCTCGTCTTAAAGACTATTTTTGAACAGATTCCTGTTTTCAAATTATTGTAACCACGACTAACCACCGCCATGTTTATAAACAAGTACTATAGCATTCGCTAATTTAAAACACAAAATAAAAACAAAAGCATGGAAATTCAGTTACTTTATGAAATCTAAGCCACAAATATAACAAACTGCAACTAATTTAATATAAATGTATTACCTCAATCGCTTCGCTGCAAAGATAATTCACACAACGATAACATTCCAGCTCCTCGACACACTGAAGACAGAGAGGCGGAGTCTTACCCCTAGGGTTGCTCATTTCAAACAAGAATATGAAAATACAAAATTAAAAGAAACAGAGAGTTTGCGAAACTTGAATGAATTTTTAAATAATACACTATATTACAGCTTTCAGATTAATAAGAGAATCTAATTCGTAAAAATTTTCTCGTCGACACATAGCTACAAACAAACCACAAAAATTAGCTTTTGTAGCTTAGGGCATGACAGGAGAATTCGGTCACGACGAGTCTGTGTCGCCATTTCCGGTATCAATTGTCTGTAAGCAAGGCAACGAGAGCAAATTTCTTCCTCTTTATATCATATACACTCGAAAATATGATTTCTTTTCTTTTGTTATATTTATGTTCTAAATTTGCAGGGATCCTATTCGGTTATTTTACAGAATCGGGTATTCCATTATAAGAGGAAGGAGTTTAATTATCATACTATATAAAATAATTAAACTGTTTAAATACTTAAGTCACATAAGCAATTATAGTATGTATAAATTGCATGATTATTGCTAATTGTAATAGCCATGTGTAGCTGAGTAGTTTCAGTTTAGGCCTGCATCCTAGTGGCACTGGATGCCTGAAAAACAAATAAGTAAAAACGTATCTTAAACTTTTCCAAATTTTCTTTCTATACTATGGTACAGTATGGTATTTAATTAGGTATCTTGCCTTTCGTTCTAATCAGAAATGAATAAATCTTAATTATAACCATGTCACCCGGATCGAATGTTCAACTATATTAAAATATAATGCGAAATCTTAATCCCAACAGGTCTCATTTTTTGAGTAAATACGGCAGTCAAATTTCACCACGAATCCTGCCTCCTTTCATTTATAAAAATTTCAGTTCAGAACATCACACAATCTATAGCAACAGGGAGAAATTGACAGATCATATAAAAAATTACTGTAATAATCGCAATATTTAGAATGAATAATGAATACACTCTAAGTTAAACAAAAAATTAATTCTGCTAGGAAAATTTAGAATAATTTTAAATCAAATCTTAGAGAAAATATCCAATAACTGACTAAAGACAGAAAAAAAGAAAAATCTGAAGGCCTTCAGATTTTAAATTACGTCCAAAGGGGCTTTTTTTTTTAACAATTTGCGTGTTAGCTTTATTTATTAAATATCATGTTCTTTGCAATTAAACCATAAAATTCAGTTCAACAGCAATGTCGCAAAATAATTTTGGGCCCTAGTCTGGACACCGTCGAGATACGAGAAGACGGGTAGAAGTTTAGTAAGTAACATAAGTTTAGTAATTCTGCTCATGATATTATGTTTTACATTTCTTTGAAAGCACTTTCACTGTGATATCACAATCCACTGTGATATTCTTTTCACTGTGATATCACAATAGAAGAATTTATTAGTTACTGTGAGGGGAAGAAAAATTGTTTCATATTTAGTAGTAATCATAATGTGCTTAAGTTTATGATGATTTTTTTCTCTCACACATGTGTATGCTGGATATGAATTCCGTGTTTGCACAGCATTTACATTGTATAAGTACATGATTTAGGCATCTTTTCAGGGCATACGAGAAAATGTTAATAGATTATTTGCAGTGCTAACAAACAGTAGTGGATCAGTGCTAATATACAAATGTTAAAAAGGTATAAAATAAACCAGTTTTGAACATCGATCGGATCAAAGAAGCATATATAAAGAAATGCAAACAGACAAAGCATTAAATAAATATTTACGGGTACTTGACACGTATTTTTCATAAATTATCAATAATTATACCTGGAATTACATTTTATTCAACAACGTGCTATTTTTACACTTTATAGTCTTTGCTACACCTCATTATCTATCCTGGCTCCAGGAGCGGATCTAACGGCGGCTGGCGGACGAATCTGCTACAATAGTACTATATACACACATGGATAGAATGTTGTAATCTTCAGAGTACTCGGGCTCAACATGTGTCGAAACTGATTAGAAAATTAATAATTATTCTTAGGTCGGAGGGAAATCAATTCACTAGCGTTACAAGCGTTTAAGCTTTCGAGAGATGTACACAGTAGAGTTGGAGCAATTTTTGATTGATAATTTCGAATTTTTTTGGTTAATTCATCGGACAAACTCTTGTTTACATTATGTGTTTTAGTTGAAATATTATTCAGTTGTTGCTATTTAAGAAGATGGGCAATTTTGACAACGCGAAGCGTCATTTTGTATTTGCTTTGGTTTACATTAAGATTTATAGTGCAGATTATGTTTGTAAATTGAAAATTTGGATAATTTAGATAATTATTGATTTTTTTTTCTTGAGCATGCCATAGTGAGATTTTATTGATTTGAAATATTTATATACTGCACTTGAGTATTGTTTATATAAGAATATGTAGGTTAATATAGGTTCTTTACTTCCTTGTACGAAGTAAAAAGGAAGGAAGTATTGTAATCTCGAAAAATACCGGGTATCGTAATCAACGGAAATATCCCTTTTCTACCATTACGGAATCCATGTGGATTATTTTTTGGGTGACGTCTGTACGTACGGACACAATGAAGGACTCTTTTTTTTTTCTTTTTTCCAAAAAGGGATTGTTAAATGGGATTAAAGAGATATGACTCTAAGTTGAGACATAAAAGGGATTTTTTTCGTGACGTGTACATACGTATGTATGTATTTCGCATAACTCGGAAATGATTAGTTGCAGAACGTTGAAATTTTGTATATGGGACCGCTATAGCATCTAGATGTGCACCTCCTTTTCTATTGCAATCGGCAATACTACCAAACGTGAATATATATATATATATAATTGGAAAAGAAACTGTAAAGCTAACAAGTAATTAGGCGTAAGACCTATTTGGTCTTAAAAATTTTTTCACAACGGTCAGATTAATTTTTTCGTGCATTAGCATGTCTTCCAAGATTAATTTTGGCGGTTTTTTTTTCGCGTGTTTACAGTTTTTTCCAGTTTTTCCAGACAAAAATTTTCTTCTTAGTTCATATTTTAGTAATACAGCGTTGAAATATTTCGTGGAGCTACAGCTCCTGGTAACTTTTTAGCAAGATCGTTGCAATGTTTCTACCTATTACTACTATTTCATATCTTTTTGCAGCATTATGCGCAAAACATTTTTAAGACCAAATAGGTCTTACGTCTAATTACTTGTTAGTTTTACAATTCTTTTTCAATTAATATATATAAATGGATTTAAGTTCATACAACACAAGGATAGTTATAGAATATATATATTATTATATAATTTTATTATTTATTATTATAGATTTATTATAGATATATATTATTATAGATATTTAGTATTATATATCGTATTATTATTATATATATATTTTATATATATGTATATATATATATATATAGATATATAATATACATATTTCAACGCTGTATTACTAAAATATGAACTAAGGCGAAATTTTTGTCTGGAAAAACTGGAAAAAACTGTAAACACGCGGAAAAAACCGCCAAAATTAATGTTGGAAGACATGCTAATGCACGAAAAAATTAATCTGACCGTTGTGATATGTGAAAAGTTAACACACATAAAAAATAGATTGACGGAAAAATATATGTATATATATGAAAAGTTAATACGTATAAAAAAATAGATGGACTGAAAAAATGCCAATACATAAAATACAAAAATTATAATGAAAACATAAATTGCAATAATATAAAATACAATAATTACATAGCGGAAAATGGTAAATTAACCCACTCGTACCCTCAACAGGCTTTTCAAGGGAAAAATGACTGAGTGTCGAACTAGGCTAAATACCATTACGCGTTTCGCCGAAACAGACCATTGAAGCTCTTGTTTAATGCACAAAGTTTTTTTTATAAAAAACATGAATATTCCTGAATAAATCTTTTTTGGAGCTTCACTGCTCTGTTTCTTTTTCTCGACGCGTCCGCTGAAAAACACATTAGGGTGTTAAAAAGTAATTGCAACTCCGAGCAATGTAAAATTAAAATCGAAATAAAATAAATAGCGGTCTGCTATTAGTCAAAAAATTACAACAACGTACGGGCTGGTCCTGTATAGCTTAAAGAAGATAGAACTTTTATAAAGAAAATGGTGCTGTAATCAAATTAATATGCAATTAAATTTGCAAGAAAACAAACGTCGTAGGGTCTTATTAGGACCAAAAAAACACAGACAAAAGAAACGAAAAAAACTGTCCTCGGAGGTGCCGTCCTTTACATCCGAAAAAATTTTAGAAAAGGGTGCAAAACCCCTCCGTGTCCAACCAACCTAATTATAATTAAAGTATATATATGTAAGGAAAATAAGTAAGGAAAAATATATATATATATATCCATCTTCCTTACTCGGCTTTTATTTTCTCAATCGTTAGTTGTAGTCAGGGCCTAACTTTTAAAATTAGAAGTACTGAAGTCCTACGCAAGGCCATCAGGAAAGATTAAAATTAAAGTAAATAAATAAATAAAATAACTATTAAAATAATAAAATAATTAGCAACTAGAATATTAAATAATACTACTATTAAAATTCAATAAAAATGTAAAGACAAATGTGTGTGTGTGTGATTATGGCAAAGCACACGAGGGCTATCTGCCTAAGGGAAGGGATGCCTTCGTGGAGGACTTTCTAAGGGAAAATGGTTCGTATACACGTTACATATGGGGAAAACCACGAAAACGCCCATGCAGTCAGCCCGTTCGCGGGATTCGAACCTCGGACCGAACTACCAGTGTTCAGCGACTTTACCGCTCGGCCGCTGGTTGTAAAGACTGAAAATTTAATTAATTCTTAAATTAATAATGAATAGCCAAGTAATAAAATAAAATACCAGACATCGTCTTGTTTGGGGGCTGTGGCTGAAATTGCAATTTCTAAAGAACTAAGCCGAGCATTAGCTAATTTTAGGCCCTGGATGAGCAGATAATGTACTGTTTGTCAGAGTATGGATAAAATTTGGTTATGCAGTCCATTCTTCTAAAATGACGTTTTCAATTTTTCTCCCATCGCCTGTCACCTGCAGAAGAATCCTTTTATCCACTGTCCTTCTAATCTCAGAGGTTTAGTACCGTTTTATTTCCCAGTTCAAAAAAATGCTTTTTCATCGCTGCCTTCCACCACTAATTCCCTCTTTATCGTTTCGGTTTATTTGGTTACGGCAAAGCACAATAGGGCTATCTGCTTTACGGGAGGAATGCCTTCGT